ATTTATTCCATACATTGTTTAGAAGCCAGAGTCATCCCAGGAATTTATCATAATAATACTGCTTATAATAAGCGATAATCTATAGGTAAACACAAATGGACACTATGTTTGAAACTCACAATCTTGGTATGTATACTTTTTTAATATTCATGTGTTTAAAACATCAAGTAACAGTGCTTAACATTTCTGAGTCAGAAACCAATGAATGTATTAACACTTTTCAATAATGTTTCAATTTTTTATGCCATATATTCTCTAGATTTTATAGCTGCTATTTTCTTGTTTGAGGTTCCTGCTAGCGAATAGAGGAAACAAAGTTTGTGCATTATTTCCTGACTGTATATTATCTTCCAACACACACAGTTTCACTTTGTTATAATAGATTGAGTTTGTAATAACTGTGGGATATTCTAGCAATTTTATAATCATTGACAGTTTCTATATTTGATAACTTGGGCACCTTTACCAAAGGGATTGAAACATTGTTTGACACTGACAAAGCATAAGTCATAGAATGTGTAGCCCAATAACATCACCACTAAGCAGAAAGAATCAGCAAAATGTGCAAAATTCGTTTTTCAAAACATAACGAGTCAATTTCTTTTTAAGTAATGCATAGGACCTTTTGAGGATAGTGATATTAATCATCAAAGGATACTGTTCTGACTTTGAACAATGTCCTACAATCAGTATTCCATGAATATTTTTGTTTGAGTTTGTCAAATTAATTACTCATAATGACTTCCTAAATTATCAAAGCATATCATAAGATTAAAGAAAAGCATGTAGTTTCCAGAAACTCTATATTGACATATCATATCAAATTTGAAATGCAATTCTTTCAGTTAATTATCAACATACACCAATGCATTTGCATTTTATCTTTGTCTGAATTCTAAAAAGTTAAATAATATAGAAAAATTTTAGATTTGCAAGATAGCATGTTAAAAGGGGGAATAATGTTGGTACTCAGTCATACCATAAAATAACCTAGGTAATTTTCTCCATATGTAAAATTCAGAAATGTCATTGCTTTGGTAATCAGTAAACTATCTGTAAGTCACAAGAAATGAGGATGTCAACATTTTTCTTCCATTAAGTCACATTACAGATAAGTTGTTTCAAAGGCTTTGTCATCTATTGGACTCTTAAAAATTTCTAGTGAAGCTTATGACATTCTCTGAGAAGAAGATAATACAATTATATACACAGAGAAAGACAACACTTAACTAGAAGAATAAAAATATATGGCAAAAAGGATATAGATACATCTCTGTTTGAATTTTGTACAAAGTATTTCTTGTCAGTAAGCAATACTTCTTCACAGTGCCTGAAATTGCTCTTTCGATGGTATAACGATTGTCCTAATGTTTGAGGAAAAGGAAAAATGATACGATATTTCACATTGAAAATACTTGTGTCTTTTCTTCTAAATAATATTTTTGATTTTGGGTCTATATAGTACACTGAGTTTTTTTATTATAATTTTTTAAACTAGTGTTTAAAAAAATTGAATTGCAATTTGCTTGTTAATAATTAACAATACTATGTACATACACACCTACATTTATATGCACATGAATTTATAGATATATTTTCAAATTTATATGTATTCCTATGACAGACTTCCTATTAATTTATAGTAAATATGATATATTTCATAGAAAATGTATTTAACACAGTTGCTTATATTTGATTTAAATTATATAGAAAAATAAAAATTAATGCCATTGCATTTTTGCATGTATATTTGTATATGTGTATATCTTTATTTATCTATGAATTTCTAGGTCTATATTTGAAATCTAATTCTTAACTCAATTTATGATATTATGTAGCATTTTATTACAAAGGTAAGGAGATTTGATTTCTAGGGAAAGATAGTACTTGTGTAAGTAAACTATATCAATTTCACCAAGATAATAATTTACTGATTTATATAAACAATAGATCAAGTGAAGTTAAAATTAACATATTTAAAAATAAGTTGAGAAATTATTTCATATGATAATAGCATTCATTAACAGTGTCTCACTACACACATAAAAATTGAAGTTTATTCATGTCACATAATTTAAAACTATATAAAATAACTCCACAATGATTCATTACAATCCCCAGAAATTCTCTATAACCTGTAATAGTTTCTCTATGTACAAAAAGAAAACTTTAGAATATTTTCTATGTGAAAATTTTTAAAATTAATCAAACCTAAATTTCCCATTTTAGCAATCACTAAGTAAAATTTTTATCTAATATGTATGTGATTAATATATTTTGTGATATATTCTCCACATTATGTTTAAGAAATTGCTTTCCTATAATCTACATACTATCAGTAGAAGACAATCATAAAATAATACCACCAAATGATATAAAGTTAAACATTATTGTTAATTATCCAATCTAATTTTAAAATTTATATTTAATACGTTAATAACAAAAATAAACTTTTGAAAATGTGAAATCAGTTATTGAAAAAATATCCCTTTTGTGATTATGTATGTTATGTGCAACACATTAAAACATTTAATTTTATATTATTAAATTTTAACTAAAGGAATTCTTATTTCAAGGAATATTCTTTCAAACATAGTTTGCCACAAAGCAGTAATGTCTTCATTTACATTTTAGAATTTCTTTTTTTTTATATTTTAGGGAGGGGTCTACAGGGTGTTCAGGGTCTCACTACTAGATTGGACTCATAGTGCTCTGCCTGTTTACAGCCTCCTCCCAAGAGCTGAGATGATAGGCGCGCACCACCATGCCCAGTCTCAATGGCCCTCTCCGTGCACCCCAGGGGCGGGGCCGACACTGCAGGTCTGTGGGTGGAACTCCTGGCGACTGCACCTGCTTGAAGGCGCTTTAATCCCCTGAGATATTTGGCTGGCCCTAAAATAGTTTCTTTGAAAGGTGCATTTCATGTTGGGATTCAAATTTATATTATGATTTTACTTCCAAATTTTAGAACATAATTATAAACTGTGAATTTGTTCATCTGTTTGAATATCTGATTAAGAAATTTTTTACTAGTATATATCCAAAAATAGAGGTATACATCTGAATGCATTTTCAAAGTCATAGAGAATAAGCAAAATCACTATATCTTATTTCTATCTTAATGTTATTATGATCATAACAACCAATTTAGCAAGTGTTTACCTCAGTAATATTTTTGCTACAATATTTTTACTTCTCATTTAATTGCCATATAAACCATTTTTCAAAAAACTGTACTTTGTCTTA